CCAGCCCGAACTCATCGATATCGCGACTAATTCCTATTCGTCGGGAGTCGGGACGAGACTTCCGCAAAATAGTATACTACTTTTCTTTACTTCCACTTTAGCGGCCAATCATCTGCATCAACCCAGGCTTGTCACTGGGCATCTTGGAGGACTAGAATCGCCAACAAGTCCGCTCTCACCGTAGCGAGAGAACGCTTGGTGTCCACCATCATTCTGCTTCATCCATCCATACTTGGCTTCATCAGGTGAGCAATTCGCCGGTGAGTACCGTCGAGTTTCCACCTTATTGCTCGTTGCTGACGAATGATGCATTAATGATGGTACGGTCAAATATAAGTATAACGGATGCAAACTTGTCTGTGCCGCAGTGTGTACGCTGATTCTGACAAATATGACATGAGCAACTACGTCGACTGTTGTTGAGCTCTCTCCCTGGACCCACACCTAAACCGATGCTTAGCGGTGAATGACGCGCTTGACGGCGACACCGACACCGACGGCCCTGTTACTTATTAAGATGGAGAGATCTACACAATCTCACTCGCTCAGGGCTGCGGAGGTAGCGGACATCTGAGCCCGAAGTTGACGGAGCTCTCGGCCACGAATTTGGAAGGCGCTCTGATTATCCATCTCGTTTTGAAACATTGATTACAAGTAGAGAATAGAAAGGTCATCCAATCTGACAAATAGCGAGTCTTTACTGGGGTAGGGGCAAATCCGAGTCTAACATTTTTATTTTCAGTACATTATATTTTCCTGCTGTCATCCCGCTCGTCCGACTCGGACGTCCTGGCCCTTGGGCATGCATCGGAAGATAATTGAGCGGGAGGACATTGTCAAGGCTACGCGCTCACCCTGGACGCTCAACTGCTGTAAAACACAGCTGGAGATCTTAGTAGCCGAGTAGGGGTCATAACGCCGGTGTATAGAATCGGAGGTATGGGGGAGGCGGTGCAGGAATTTTTTGTTTTTTTTTGGAGTTTGATCTTGAAACTAACTGCTGTACAACGATGCTATGACTCCGACGCTGGTTCAGCCTCAGCGGAGTTGAAGGAGATGAAAGAAGGTGGATCTATTTAGGAACTCGCTCAAAAGTTGACTCTTGTAAAGACAATGAATACTGATACCCAAATTATAGGAATCGGTGTTACGAATGAAGGCAGTATTATCAATGCAATTTAGTATGTCCTTAGGCTTTCGCCAAGCAGATGCTTTAATGCTTGCGTCGCATTTTATGGAATTTTTCAAAACGCTGTACCCGACGTAGCAGTCATCTAGTTCAAAATCTCTCCTCTTAAGCGGCTTCCAAGCCTTTCTAATACGTTTGTGGATAGATAATGGATTCAGTAAGTCTTACTACTGAATCTCATCCGAAAATTTGTCCACGGTTGGACGAGCCCGGCGAAAACGAAAAAGCGAAATCTAAGCTGATGCTTACAATGGAGTTTTGGAGGACTGTGGATGCAATAAATCTCAACTTTTTCAACAGGTATTTTGCTTGTTAGACATTCCATTCCATCCGTCAATCTAGTCCACCGACAATCCAATCCAGATTCTTTATTTAAAAGATAAAGTACTCGTCATCTTTCACGGAGTTTATAAAAGTATATTCTTTTGGTCAACGAGAATACGCTTGTTGGCACATTTTGATTTGCAGATATGATTTTTAACCTTTCCTTTAGATCTGGGTCTCGAGTCTAGGCGTCGAACAATCCAACCATACACGATTGTATCGTGGGCAATGTCTTTAACTGACATCTAAATCAAATCTGGCAGCGGCGTAGAAGACCATGCATTTTTCGGGAGATTGCTCGAGATCAGAACAGGACCGCTGTCCGTTGTCCACTATCCCGAGCAACTTTAACACATTTGCCATAAGCTGAACTCAATCTACCGTCGTGGACCTGTTCAAAGCCGACTTATGTCCTTTGGCCACTTTGATGCAGATTGATCAGATAGAACAGTGTTGCGTCTACTCAAATATCTACCCGGAGTTCCCGCGAATAAGACCAAGAAACAAAGATTGAGCCTCTTGCAATTCACCCGAATCTTTTACGATAATATGATTCTTGCTCTAGATGGAGGGAGCTTATCCGACAGTCAACTGACGGTTGCGGACCGAGGCATAAGCATGTGAGCGAAGGAACTCGACGGCCATGATGCGGAAAAACTTCGTAAGCCTTGATAGAATCCGTAGGGAACCGGGAAATCAAAGAGGAAAATGCCCGGTGTGGGGTCCAATTCAGTATCAAAATAGATGTGTAAGAAGCTGATTGAGGAAAGAGACCCTTCGTGATCAGTGACAGCTTCAAAAACTATTTTTTCCGCGTATAATCCTCACAAGAACATTTGCCGGCAACCTGTTCTCAACTGAGGCTTCATGCCAGCTGAATGTCAAACGTTGAATACTGAATACGATATGACAACTCGAATTGATCGCATTCTCATCATGACATTACAATATGCTTTTACACATACATATGCGGTCACTAACCATGGCAAGATAAGACAGCTGAAAATTAGCATAGGTGGAATGATTGCACATACTATGCGCAAGTGTAAATATTATAAGCTAGCTGAGGAAGTCTGTACTACGGACTAGTTCCAATGAAAATTTTTGCTCAAAATGATTGGGACAAAAATTGATTCTAGCAACTTCATAATATGGTGGCGTACTTGCTAGCAACGGTCTATGTAAGCGTAAAATACTTGTGATATCATGCCCTCCGTCGGTGGCTCTCGATGCCTTTCTGAAGATGATCATTGTCAATATTTATGTGGTAGTAGTCGACAGCGTATGAAATCGCGCTGTCAAGATTTGTTGCTTGGTCTGATGCAATAGAAAAACTCCAAAAGGCATCCGACGGCAGTTAGACGGGCGCGTTGTATCACGAGCTAAAATTGTGGTTTTAGGGCAGTAAGCAGAAATGACCATACCGAAAATCGCGCCTTTAATGGTCAGATGTGCATACGTGTCTACTCAATTGATGATACCTTACGATGCCTGACAGGGTATCACTGTGCCGAAGTGGGTCTTTTGGCTTACCCATCTAATTACTGCATGTAAGCCTTGCCCGGAGAAATGACTAGTCTACATACTTCAGCCAGAGGAAGAGGGAAGGCTAAGTAACAACACATTCCAGAGAGCTCGGTCAGGAACGAACAGCCTAATACAAAAATAAGCACCCCCACGTGGCTAATAGTATATTTATATACGGTCGATCAGTGGCTGTACGATGCTCCACATTCCTGCCTGCACTCTTTGCTTCAGTCATACCCTCAGCTGAACCACTTATCTCTTCCTTCACTGGTGGGTCTCAAAGTATGCAAATTCTCTTTCCCAAGCGCTCAGCGCCCGGATCGCGCTTTCTAGGCCGAGACTATGTGACAAATCATCGCGAAAATTACGAACTGCGAAGGCCCTGGTTTTCTTGTTTGAGCATAATATAATCTACACTTGTTACTCCCTTCATCGCTTATAATGAAAGATCCTCACCCATTGACCCTCCGACAGATCAGCTTGCATAGTATGCAATCTTGCGGCGATTAACCTTCACATTCTCGCCCAAACCACAAGTAGTAGCGGCCGGGAACCGGGACAAACCAGATACCTCCCAGCTCATCCCACAAGATTGTGCAGTGACTTGAGCCTTTAATTATAGCTATATGATATATAATTCTTGGGAAAAGGGTATGCAATGAGAAAACTCTTCTATTCCGCTCGGACGAGAGCTTCTAAGCATCCGCTTGCCCGACGAAGACGGGTCTATAGATCTGTTTTTTGAAGTTGTCCATTGACGAGAGATTCCTGTATGTGTCAGATTCTCTGGTAATTGTTGTCTAATCTGAAGTAATCTCGCTAATAGCGTTTCTCGGGACTCTTCACATATCTCCGGGGGTGACAGACAGTAAGAGCCCGTCTCTACCAAGATCTGTGGCTACAGACCAGATTTTATAATGTATGCCTTTTCACTCCTAGATCTCGTTTTCCTGCTTGAACACTGCTCCGCACCATTGCGTTGGAATGAGTGCTCTTGTAAAATTGGATATGCTTCTCTTTCTCTGTGATCCGTCCAAACATGTATCGGTATCCGCCCCAAAAAATGTAACGTCTAGACACAGTTTCCGAATTCCTTTTACTTCGGAGTGTTGAACCACCGGTGGTCCCAAAAAGGGACGGAATTGTCGCAGTCCGTAAATCCGTGCATTCATTTTCACGTACGACAGCACATACGTGGCTTGGGGACCCTGGCGGGTCGTCTCGGTGTGCTGCTGCGCTGTCCGACGTGTGACGGAATGCTTGGATAACGCACAACGGGAACTGAATTTCTGCTCACAATCCAGACCCACGTAGAATTCAACACCTGGCGGAAGGCGCGTATTTTTCTCTTCCTTTCCTGGTCGGGATTGTCTTTGATCCACTGTGTTGCGCACCCTGATTTGCTTCCTGTTTGTCGTTTCAAGCGAACTGACCGAAGTGTCAAATCCGCTATGTCACGGATGACGACTAGTAAATTCTGCAGGCGCATGGGGATGAATCGTACGGTGTTTCCACAGATGCAGTCATATAGGCTAGTGTCAAGATTCGATTTTTTAATAGCAAGAGAATGTCCTCGCACTTACAGACATCGAATGCTGTGTAGAAGGTCAGCAATTTTTTTTTGATTTTGAGCTCTGTTGTGAATCTGTTGAACAAAATATTGCGCAGAATTGAGAGAAAGGGTCAGTATAAGCACTGGCCTGTTTCAAGTTATCCTAACACCTTTGATTGGGTTTTGAGACTCAGGCCTCAGGCTCGGTACAACCCAGCTATCACTGACATTGAATGATATAGGTTAACGAAAAAATAGAATCGAGGAGCAAAAATGTCTGGAAACGGTGATCGTACATTAACAGATCGTGCTAGAGATTGTTCAATTAACCCAAGTGTTTTCAAAGAAGTATAAAATCAGAAGAAAGTGGATGATAAAAAGCGAGGTTCGTATCGGATTCACATGCAAGCATCAATGGGGTAGTGGTAACCTGGGTCGTTGCCATTTATCTCGACCCGCCGGGGGTTCGATTCCCCCTTGATGCAATGTAGAATCGGTCATTAAATGTTTTTTCTTTTCCTTAATATACATACTGCCCAGGGCCGGAGAATAAAATAACATGCGGACATAAGACTTTTCATTCAAGTCACCGCATACCATATATCCTCAACTCAAGTTCGACCGACAAACGCCGCATACCATTCAGCTCCAGCAGCAGTCCCGATCTAACTGCCTTGTCCAAGACTTGGCTTGCTGTTGTCGTGCTTCCCACCCATTTTTTTATAATCAGTCATTCCGGAGATTCATTGTCGGGCTGCGATTTTGCAGGACATCATGAAAGGATGTATGCACTAAGTCTACTTGTGTCTACGTGAAAATGACCTACTATTTAATTCATTTGTATAGTACTTACTCTTCTAAATTGTCATCCACTAATCAAGGACCTGAACACTATAATTATCGCATTCAGTCAATCAACATTAATTTAACACGCCTAGTCCTCGAGTCCAAGATCACCTGAGAAATCTAGATGTTATCACCAAGAAGTACAAGTGGTTGGCCGATCTTATCGTTGTACCTGAAGTGGTTCGCAGTTTTGAGGACGTAGTTCAGCTTCGAGTCCAAGGCGAACACGGTGAATCCACGGCGAAAGTCGAATTACATCGAGGAAACTTGGCACACACCTGTTTCCCTCGTCGAATGTAGTGTGGGGTAAGTGAGCTGTATGCTGTTCACCATGTGCCGTGTTCGTGAAGGAAGATTCTCGCCATTCTCGACAGCTTGGAACTGTGCCTGTCAAAAGGTGTCCATCTGGCTGCGAGCAGGTACCAATCTAGAACCACGGATCTATGAACCGTCAGACTAATAGGCAGTAGACTGTGGGGTAGACCATCTAAGAAAATGTTCGGGGGAACATAGGGAAGTAATAGCCCGAAGAAAGATTTGCCTTATAAGTCACCGTAAACATGTGCTGGTCAATCAATACGGAGATAGTCTGCTCAAGTCACCGAATGATAAGATGAGACGAAAATTGACTCACCGGTAGGAGAAAACCTGGGGAAATCATGGACAAGCCACAATCGGATTATTCTCGTACATTCCCCACAGCTGCTGTCCTGAGCACATCATGACCACTTCCCTACAGCATACTTCACAAGGTCCGGGACCACAAGCACACCTCGTGCGGCCACTTCTGTCCATGAGCTCAACAGCCTGGTCAACATGACCAAGGAGTACACATTCAATGAACCACTCGGTCCGAGTCTCCCACCCGTACCCAGCGGAATACCCAGGCAACCTGCTTGAGGAGGAATGTTCCAAATCGAGAAATACGGGCTCGCAGATGCCGATATGATAGATGCGAATCATGAACAGCACTATCAGAGTGAGGTCTAGAACCCGTTCATGATGGAGGAAAACGTGAGTTATCAACGAAAGGGGCGGATGATCATGAACTACATACATATTGACGGTCAATCAAGAGAAACCGAATCCGTCGAGTTCGCGAGAACGACCCATTCTCAAATACGAACTTCGCAAGCTGGGAACTGGTTCACTTCTGTTTCTGGGAATTTCTGACGACAATTGTCGACAAGTTTAGTCACAGGTTCGTTTGTCTTTATAGAAGCTCATGACCAGCTGGTCCTAGAGAGAAGCAAAGATCAGGTAGATCGGGTCTTAGAGACCGGACAATAGATTAGAAAGAAAGATGATGAAATGATGCAAGAGTATTTAACTTGCATTTTTTTGCATTGTGCCTTAGTATGAAAGCGAAATGCCAGACAATACGTGCTCTGAATACCGACTCGACACCTGGAAATATCTCTAGCGCATGTGGAAGGAGAGGAAACGGCTTTCGTGAACTGACCTGAATCACCCTAAACCCTGTAGATCCCTTTGGACAGACGTCACTGCTATCTGATCCGAGTGGAAGAGCGAGTGATGAGACTCGATATCAGGAAGATTTCGAAGGATCCTAAAAGTGACGCAAGGCCTCATGTTCATGAGATTGAGGAAAGATAGGCAAACGCGGGGACGTACCCCAAACGTACCCACAAATCTAGAACTTGGGCCAAGGGTTAGATGACAATCTTTCAAAGGTGCATGAGTCGCATGAAAAAGATGACGTTTGGCTGCGAACGAGATCTACTTGAACTTGCTATTGAGATCTCAGAAGACCAGTGGAATTTCTGACTTATTGTTGCTTGAATAGCAGTCGATCCTTCGGATCATTACAGATTAAGATTAACGCCAAATGATTGTGACCAACTTTTCGAAAATAAAACATTTCCATTCACTATAACACACTAGATTGCTAATGCAACGCATACGGGGCTGAACACGAAAGTAGCGCGTAGAGCAGAGACATGACAACGTGACCCGAAATTTGTTTCACCGTCACTAACTATGGCAAGACATTCTCCTTTACTCCTCCTTTCGACGCCACCTCTTTAATGACTCTGTATTTTGATGATAGACCAGTCGACGAATACGTTGTACTGGAAGTCATAATCGTCTACCGATCTGCGAAGAACATATATCCTTTGAAGGATCCTCTCCGAGATGAACAACTCGACACAGTCCTGGAAGATATTCGAAAGCTGCAGCTTGTCCCACCGGCGAAGAATAGCTTGGTTGTCTTGAACAGTGGTTCCGTCCGTTTCTACTGGGAGAGTGTGGTCGGCAGTGTGAGTACAACATATGTTCCAGTCCTCGTCATTTACACCATGTTGTTGTTTCGTGCCTAGACCTTACACCGAACGCTCCACGCCAAACTGAGCAAACGGTCTCAAGATGTGGTATGGAAGTCTGACCGAAAACTGTTGCCATCACTTGGGATGTGCGTGTCGCAGTTTTTTTTTTCGTCAGTAACTAACATCATACAGTGCCTACGTCAAGTTTTATACCCTGGATAACATCAGCGCACTTTCCACCCGCGAAGATGATCGGGATAGCCGTACTTGGTTCCGACGCACTCCACCTCGCATCCTCGTCCGCTCTCGACAATATCTCCCTAGTCCCAGCCCCAATCGACGTACACAGTCACCGTTCTCCTATTCTCCGACTCCACATGATCAAAACAACCCTTCCCCAGATTTGCAGTCGCGTATTTCGCATTCGATGGACAAGCCTCTGCTTTCAAGGCTTACCAATGTTCCATCTGACGAAGATACCAACGTTGAGCCAATATCGTCGTCGAGTACTCTCCCTTGCGCTCCCACATTCTTGAACTCAATCCGACAAAGTTTGGCATATGGTACTCGTCACAGCGATAGTCAAACACGCACGGAAAATCGTCTTTCTTCCGAGAAACACGCGATGGTTTCTCATCCCGGCTCTTATACCCCAAGTTCTGCTCAGCCGGACACTCAACAGGATGCTTGCTTGCGCCTTATTCGTATAAATGATAAACAACCTAACTTGAGATCTTTGCACTCACGGTGGGAAGCACAGTTGGATGTAGACTCTTGGTCCAGTGCGTTTTTGCATTATGCTTGTTCTGATTCTGTTGACTTAGGAAGGGACATGACTGTAGAGTCGCAGACCATCGAGGTATCCGGAGAAGGATCAGAAGACATGGATCTGGAGGATGATATCTCTGACCAGATAGAAGAAGCGGAGAAGTCCGAAGCTGACGAGGGTACTCCCATATGCCACGGAAACGACGTCGCTCCGCCTGGACCCTCCCGCGAAATTCTTATGTATGAAGAAGTCGATGATATGAACAATTCAAGACTTGAAGAGCATCTAGAAACGAAAGACACCTTAGCTCATGAGGCAGATGTAACTCCTACCAGAAAGCGCAAACGAACCTATGATTCAGAACCCTTCGCACATCTCTCCGAATCAGATCCAGCTTTTAGCAGATTTACTGTCGTCACAGAGAGATCGTCCTCTTCATACGCCGAGTCGGATACTTCTTCCAAACGAACGAGGATTGACCCTGGCCCCAGTCCTAAAGTCGCCGACGCGGAAACCATTATCCGTAACTTGCGCCAAGATCTTTGGAACGAGCAGAAAGCGACTCTCGAGGCCAAACGTGCGAAATTGGATGTTGTGAATACCTTATTGGAGGCTAGAGCGGATACGGATAGAGCTGAAGAAACCATAAAGGCGCTGAAAGCGGGGCTTGGGACGTTGGAAGAGGAGTGCAAAGCTCTGGCGGAAAGGAATAGGAGGCTGGACGAGGAGAAACAGGTCGCAGAACAAGGAAGACTGACGGCCGAGGCATTATTACGCGACGTACGCAGAGAATGCAAGGAGCCATTTGTCGTTCCTGCTCTATTTGATGCGTTCATATTGATCTCAGAGTTAAGGAATGGCCTTGGAAATTGGAAGCAGATTCTGGATAAGTTGCGGTTGGATGGTGAATTGAGTGCTGATGCTGGTTCAAGCTCGGACGACGATGAGAGCTAGAACGGACTGGTTGCGTTACTGATATCTTTTTGTCGCTTCTGACGGGACATGACTTATTCTTGTAGCTGTGCACTGTATATGTTGTAACTTGTGTGGATACCTGAGATGATGTAGTGAGACGAAATTCCACTGCAAGCAATGAAGTTCAGACAAGGTTTCGTGACACGAAGGTTGACATCGCGTCAATTATCTGAGTAAGCCGTTGTTCCTTGAAAACTGTCCTTCATCATAACTTCTTACAGCTCATTTTGTGTTGAATATGATGCTCTGAACCATTCAGACGTCTTGAGGATAGGCCCACAGTATTCTTTATCCCGCTGTCCTCCAAAAATCAAGTAATTTGTCACCTTCAATAACGCCCGCAGATCTTTTCAAGCCTTTCATTTTCCCCCTCTAAGTTTCAAATTGACATGTCTACATCCCAAGCACCTTATCCATCCCGCCTCAACCCAGCTCTCCGAGAAATCCGTCTACTCCACCTTCATCCAGGCCCACCAGAATCCCCAATCCGATGCCATCTCACTACCGCATCCCTCTTATCTTCTCCCACGTACGAGGCACTCTCGTACGTATGGGGTGATCCATCTAATCCTCCGACCATCATTCTACACGGTTCTCCCTTTCCTGT